CCACTGCCTGATTTACTCTGTAGCTCACATACCCCAAACGTTTTGCATTCTTGGACTAAATTTGATAGATGTGCTAGCAAACCTCTCTCTTGCATTTGTTCTTCTCTCCAGGACACACGGGCCAAAATAGCGAGAGGTTTAGATCTCCAGGTGGCAAGGGCCAGGTAAGGCCTGCTCTCAGCAGCCACTTCCCTTCACCTTTACTTTGCGGTAATATTGCCCAAAGGCGAGAAAACAGCTTGCTGTGGTCATCTGGAGAGTCAAGAGAAAGAAGTTCTCAAGATGATACCTTGCTGTGGCACACAGCCTGGAAGAGGCTCATTTCCTCTACCAGCTGTGACAAACATGTCCCTCCCTCAGAAAGAGCTCCTTACAGTACTCCAAGTTAGGGCAAGGACTTTGGAAGCATTGACGGCGAGAAGTGATAGAAAGACTGGTGTGGAGAAAAGGAGGGGTACGTGAGGATGTGCAGGCAGAGGATGGAGGTGGTATGGGGTATGAGAGACTGATACTCTGCTCCTTCACGTGTGGTCTCTGCCCTGCGCTGAGGGGAGAGTAGCCACAGTTTCCTATTTGCCTCTCCCTGAAACCCAACCATGTGAAGATGCTGAAGGTGAAGGTGCCATGGATAAGTAAAGTACAGCTGTACCAGGGAGGAAGGCAGAGACAAGGCAGACCCCTGCGTGTCTGCACAATGGAACTGGTAGTTTGTTTTAGGCCTCTGACCTCCAACAGCCATCCCTCTTCCCCGGTCAAATCTGCTACGGAGGGAATAGCCTTGGCTGGTTTGGATGCAAGGCAGAAGGTGGTCCTTGGCCTTGTGGCCAAGGAGCTGACCTTTACCTGCTTTTCTATAGCTGTGGATTTCACATTCTAAAGCTGGAACTGCTCCTCTCAATCCCAAACATTTTTATTCGAGAGCAAAGATTTTAGGCAGGTGCTGGAAATATGATGCTGAATGAATACTTGATGGGCACTTTGGAAGGAGGAGGAAGAGGGGTTCGTAAGAGGTTTGTATTCCCTCCTGTTTTTCCTACTGAGCTCAGGCATCTAAAAGATAGTCAGCCAGCCAATTCTGGAGCACAATGAGGCACCAGAAGGGAAGATCAGAAAAAAGAAAAAGAGCTGATTTCTATCCCTTATTTGGTTTAGTGATCTGCGGAGAACAGCTCTCACATTGTTCACATTTTAAGAGAAAAATGCAATCAGCTTTAGTCTGATTCACTTCCCTTATGGGAGCAATTGACGACGCACTTCTTTCTTAGCTTTGACACCATTCCTGTTAATACAAGGTTGATGCTGTTTACATTTTTTATAGCATGGTCCAGAGAACCTCAGGGCAGCTGAGTGACCTCCCCTCTGCTCCCAGACCCCCCAGGACAGGGGGGAGATGGAAGGTGCCAACAGAGGAGATGGCAGCAGGAGAGGAGAACTTCTCCTGAGGAGCACAGAGACAGCGTCAGCCCAGCACTCTGCAAGGTTAAAACCAGTTTTGATACCTGAGGACCTGACAGGTTGGTGTATAGCCACAGCCATTTTCACCCTGACTGTTCATCAAAATCCATATTGTTCAGAGAATACAACCTTGGCACGGTACGCATGTACAGAGTGCGTGCATACGTGTGTAGCACCACATGAGCAGAGGCACATGGCGTGCATGTATTACCTGCTTGCGCAGTTGATACGTGTCTGTCAGAACTGGGAGATATGATGAGAATTTAATGCTCACGCTAACACAAGCAAAATAAACATACTTGTAGCAAAACGCAATATTACTATTAATTAGTTCAGATTTTAAGGTCTCGGTTTGCAGGTAGTAACGTAATAAGACTTTCAAAACCGCCTGAGATTAAATTTTGAAAATGCTATGATTAAAGTATCAAAATAGCTTTTTCCAACCTTTTCAGCCCTTGACTTGTAGAGCCAGTACATCTTTTACTATTAGCTATTTTTGGATTCATAAATCACTCCGACTCATATTGGTCCTATTTTTCCCCTCTTAACCCTTCTCACCCAGATCTCTTTTCTAAATCGCGCCCCTCTCTGCCGCAGCCCTGTGCTTCCGTGCCCTGCCTTGCTCAAGGTATCCCCAGGACACCATCTTCAGTTCGTGTTGCAACTCGCAGATTCCCAGTCTCAACAGCCCTACTCTTGGAGGCTGGAAATGTGTTAAAGTTAAAGAGTCAAAACCCCTGCAAGGAAAGGAAATGAGAGGTCCTCTTGGCAGCAACAAACAGAAAATAAACAACCAAACTCTTCACAAGACAGATTCCTCAATTATAGTAACTCAGGCTCGCAAAGGCCAGAGTTATGACCCGTTGGCGTATGCAGTATGTAAACACAGGGATGCAGTAATTAGCTTTGCGTTAATTTTGAGGCTTCAGAAGTCCTGTGACCTGCCATGGAGTAAGGTCGTTAACCATAACCACACTAGTGACATTCACACAGGACACCCCGTCTCTCACAGTTATACGAGTGAACTGCACTGTGATGTCTCCCCGGCTCACATGCTCCAGCCCTCTTGTTTTAAATGCCACTGAGCTATACATGAAGGAAAGGATGTGACTTTTGGGATGAGCTGTGATTGGAATATCTTACTTTCCCACCTAGCAATGCTTAGGATTTAAATGTGATTAAACAAATATAGTCAGTACCAAAAATATCCAGAATTTCCCTCAATTCCTTTTTTTTTTTTTTAATCAGAAAAATTTGTTTAAAAATAGTACACTGAGGAATTATTGGACTGGTGTGGGCCTCCATTGCCCTGGAAAGGCACTTTTCTCTTTGGTGTGTGGAGTGTATAGGGACAGACTATTCATAGCTTGTTCTATAAAGGGCAATTGACCTTTGAATAAGCAGGCGTACAGCCATTACTAGATGTTTATCAACAAACACAACAAAACGCTGCTCTAACCCTGGTTTTGCCAACACTAAATGAAATTAGTATTGGGAATGAGTATTTTTGAACTCTACTTTTGGTTTTACTGCGGCTGACCTATGGATCCCCTGCAACACGCTTGTCTTGCTTACAGAGTCAGCCTGGGTGAACCTTGGGTTAGATTTTGCAGTGTTGCGAAGTCGTTACTGTACAGATGGAGAAAACGTACCCTTTAATTTAAAAGTTAGCAGGTAAAAGTTCAGATGACTCGTACTAGGCTGTCCTTAACAGTCATTGGAAAGAAACAGGCACTTTCAGGAGGCAAATTATTTTGCCTTTCTTAGAATCCATCTTAAAGTGTCACAGATCCCCCTTCCCAGGTGCAGTATTAACCCCACCGTTAACATGACCCTTGCTTTGACAAAAATAACTAATTTTTACCTGTCCAGCCTAAGTGCAGTGAGTCCCATCATGCCCTTGCCAAGCCTACGGGGGCTCAGGGAAGTCCCAGCTTGTCATTCCTTGTCTGAATTCTCAGACAGCAAAACTCTCTCTGTGAAAATCGCATCCACGTCAAATTCAGATTGTCCGGTGTGACAACAGAGCTCAACCAAATGCACAAGCAACTGTTCCTGGCAGTCCAGAATTTGGGGGGAAAAATGGGTATTACTACATGAATAAACACATTGATGTGGCACCTACTTATGCAAGTCTTAAGTGGCTACATAGGAGTTTCTATGGGTTGTGAAGATCATGAAACCCTGACTTTAGGTGCCACAATTCAAAACCTGTACAAAGAATTGGTGAAACCCCCACTGATTTCAAAGGACTTCCTTCACTGCTGTACTTCCATGTACATTTTAAAATGTAATGCAACTTATGCATCTTTTCTTTTAGTAGGGGTTCTCATTTTCTTTCTCTGTTTCGTCTGGGTCAGCTTAACTGACTCTTAATGAAATTAGTGCACCTCAACCAGAGATCCAGTCCAGAAACTTTTGTTTGTGAGAAATACTAGAGGTGCAACTTTAGACTCCAGAGCCCTCTGTGCTTCATTGTTACATGGATCCATATGGCATCAGAGCGTGTACATTAGGGTGGGTGACTCAATGAGTTTAAGTTAAGTAAGTGAAATTAGTTTATTGCCTAATATTTTAGGTTTGTTAATATTAAGTTACTTGTTTTCAGCTAAAGTAAATTCTTGATGAATGGCTTGGGGTTTTTAGCAGAGTGGTGGTTTTGGAAATCTGATGGATGCCTGATGGGATTCCTTCCTCACGCCATAGCCAACTGAGGACATTTTCAGACATGATCTGATGAATATATTTGAAGCATTATGCAGACATATAGCAACAAAGGGTGGAGGAACCAGGTCAAAGAAACAACAGGGATAACCTGTGTCTCAGTTCTCTAAGATATTGAAATCAAATCTGGATTTTTATATTCATATGTACGCAGTGCAGGATAGAAGCATTTATTTTACTTTATTTCCCCAAAATATATATGCTTCCTCACTAAAACTGCTCAACAACAAATCCTGTTCCCTTGGTTCCCTTATGTTTGCCAGTGTACATCTAGAAGTCAGCTCCTCGTCTCAAAGACCCTGCTTTCTCTCTTATTCTTGCTGTACACTAAAAAACCAATATCACAGCGTAATGGCTGTATTCTCCTTATAGCACAAACCATTAACTGACAAGCTACCTTGCCTCCAGAGGGTTGCAGTCTTGTGAATTTTTGCTCAAATTGCAGCTCTCCCTTTCATAACAGTATTCTGCTTTCAGACTCTACAGCGTGACAATTCCTACACTCCACAGTGGAAAAGAAATATGCTATTCTACATTCATCCACCATGTCTTCATGTCTAATGCTTGAATTTTTGCCTGTCAGGAACAGGAACTTTCTGTGGTCTCTTTTTGCACAGAACTGGATGCAGTTAAGATTGGTTCTCTCCTTTAAACATCTAAATGCCACCAGCACGCAAATGAATCAATATATGTACAAGTAACAACTGAAATGTGTTATTTATTTGTTTACAACAATACAGCTGTGTAACCAATGTAACCTATCTATTGACTTGCATAACACCCAGCTTTCTAAGATGTCTTCCTTGTTTGTAACTACGCACTTTGTCTTTTGGTGAGTGTTTTTTGTTTCTTCAAACTGATCAGAACGTGTTCTCTGAAAGCACTTAAAACTGTCTGCTTTCTGGGGGGTTTAGTTGGGACTTAACAGAAAGTCATATGGTGAATGTTCTCGTCTTGGCAGAATTACTCATGCATGAAAACATGCAATTCCTTCCCCACAAATGCTTTTGTATGCACTTTTGATATTTGTCTTTTGGCCAATAAAAGTCAATCATCTCACACGTTTGCAGAAAGCAGTCCAAAGGGACTTGTGTTTGGCCAGAGCACATTTATTAAGGCAAAGAAATAATACTGATGGATAATTTGCAGTGTTTGAAGAGCTCTGCAAGAATATTTATTTGCCATTTGCCATTAATGGCCATGGGTACAGGAAACACGTGGTTCTCAACGTATGTCTATCAGTGAAAGGTAGAAGCCAAGAAGATGTGAAGTGTGGGAAGGTAAAAGTATCAGTGCACTGCACTGAGGGAACAAAACAAAGTGTGAGGGAAAGAAAGGAAGAAGAAAAAACTGGAACTTGAAATCATATAGTCATGTAGACTGAAAAGAGCTCACCATCATGGGATTAAAAGAGGAGAATTATGAAGTAAATTACAGTGAGGTTTGGATGGGACTGAACTATAAAAGAGGCCTGTATGTGAAACACATGGGAATTACCGCATCAGAACACACTGAGATCAACTAATTTAGTGATACAATGAGTAGAAAGAACATTTTGGGCTAGTAGGACTATTTGCATCCTCATTATTCCCATTTGTTTGCATTCATTCTGAAAATGCTAACACCTTCTCCCAGTAAAACTTCATTTTATAGCCAGTGAGGGAAAAAAAGAGTTGTAATAGATCTCACCAGCTTTAATGATACACCAGCAGATGGAAACAAAAAAACCCTGCTCTTCATCCATTTTATCTTGTTTTGCGTAGCCGTTCCAGAAACATGTCCTTGCTTCTGTGCGATAGCAGAGACTTAACTGACTAACATCCTGTCTCTGACCTCAACTTCTTGAGCAAAGTCATTGAGGCATCTGTGACGAGCATAGCCCGTCATCATGTGGTCTTTGCCCTGACTCCCTCGGCCACAGACATCTATCCAACATGGAAATGGCACAGGCTGACCGAGCTAACTCTCTCTTCATGGCCGTGGAGAAAAGATTAGCGGCACTGTTGGTAACTGCTGGGTTTACTGCTAGACTTCAAAAGCTGGTGCCGTGAAAACTAACCTCCAGAGCAATGCCTGAGCGACAGTGGGGAGTTGTGTAATACAAAGGAGCATTTTTAATATTTCCTGACAGTAAATACAAACATACGTACTTTCCCTTCCCTTTCCCAAATAGTTTTTGTTGTTACCTCCTTTTGCACTCACTGACTGGATGCAGCTAGACATAAGAACAGAGCCTGGCTTGGTTTCTCGTGCAATTATTCTGTTGTTCAAAGGGGAACACACGTTTCTCTCTGTGTAATAACGGACAGCGGCAGTAGGGAAGATAAGTTGCTGGAGATTAAGCTGGAAAGCTTGGTTTCCCCTTGCCGGTAGGAACAGAAGGAAAACTTTTAGCTTAATTCTCAGTTTGTTGGCTTGTCACCATAATCCATCCCTTAAAGCTATTTTAACCTAGTGGGTTTTGTGTGAATTTCCTCAGTTTTATTAAGAATTATCTTTTTTAAAAAAAATGTAAATTCATCTCCCTGTGAAGATGTATGAAAGTGAATGGGACAGACTTTTGTGGATACTAAAGAATATATAGTGGTGGATTTCAAAAAATTAAAAAAAAAAAAAAAAAGGCTTTCAGACATAGACATACGAATCCCAAGGACATGAGTAGAGTTGGAACATAGGTTCCATCTGCCTGCATTGATTTCAAAGGAATTTTCTACTTAGTGTAAAACAGGCTAGAATATAGTCTGTGACTTGCTCAAAAGGAAGGGAAAAACCTCACTTTTATGCACATTGCAGAAAAAAAAGAAAGAAAAAGATTCATGATCGTGAACAAATTCTTGTGGTGCACAGTATTTTTCAAGTATGGTTTGGCTCAGATCCCATAAAATAAGAACTGACAGTAAAATACGTGAGTAGTTTCTTCTAAAGTACTTACTACACAGGAACAGCAGGCATTTCTCAGAGAAATGTCTTGTCCAATCTGAAGAGACTGCCAAATTGCCATAAGCAAACACACAACATCATTATCACCTCAAAAAAACGGTTGCACAGTTCAAAAATTACAGTTCAGTCCTGTATTTCCAGCTCTAGCAAAATTAGCTTTGGTAGAAAAATAGGACTCTTCCTCCAGTTACGGTGGGCTCATGAGAGGCTGTATTGCAAGCTGTGCCACTGGGCAGGAGCAGAAGCAAGCATGGGCATTTTGGGCATAGATTCTAAGCATAGGGGAGTCTGTAAACAGCTTGCCTTGGCTGCGCCCCTGAGGCAGATGCACCTCTCAACCTCTGACACAATGAGGAGGAGGAGGTGACATCTACCCCGTAGGTTCCCATAAATCAATAGATGTAGCCAGTTCTTGGGTGAGGGGGAGACACCTGTAGTTATCTGGTTCATAAGATCCTCCTTCTAACGTTATTTCCCTTCTCATGAGGTGTATCACTAGGGAACAAGCCAACCTTCAAAAAGATTACAAGCTCCAAACCTCTCTGACGTTTCTGTAAGTAATCTGCAGCAACCCTAGTGATCATTTAACGATGGAACAGTAAGTTACTACTTGGTACCAGCAGCTCCTGCTGGCTCACAGATGTTCACACACGGGACAGCTGCTCCACCTGTTCCAGTCATCCTCAAAAGGGCTGAAACCTTGCTTTTGAGTTGGGAGGAAAGGGGGAAATAGAAAGGATGGGGAAATGGGAAGGATGGAGAAAATGGGAAGGACAGGGAAAAGGAAATATTCCACCGGCACTCCTGTGCCTACCAGAGTAACTGCACCAGAGACAGAGCAAGTAACTTCCCTGCTGCAAGAAGGGGAGAAAAGGGAACAATGGAACAACAATCTACTGGGTGAAATTTGTATAAATTATTATTTCATAGACTTCTTAAGCATCTCCCATTCTTAACATGTGGGGTGCCATTCAGCTAGGTGCCGTGGCAGGGAACCAGTCCAACAAGCTGGCTCACATGGAGGGACGGTTCTGCTGGCACTCTGGCTTATTGGGTGAAACCAAGTGGAACTTCCCTTGGCTGCCACGCAGTGTTGTGGTCTTTCTCCCATGCTGGGACTCCATGAGCAGATGGCAGGATCAGACCACATTGTTCAGCCAGAGCCAGTAGAAAGAGTTCAGGGTGGGAGAGAGGCCACAGTGCTGCGATTGCAAGAGTTATGGTCTTACCTGTAGGGAAGCATGAAATAGGAATTGGTTTGGAGGAATCCCATGGTTGAAGCGTGAAACTTGGCTACCTGATACCCAGCAAACAACTCCCACCATGACATGTTTTACAATCGAACTTTTTGTTCTGAGCTCCCCATGCAACCCCTTATCTTGGCAGCTCTTTCAGCAGAACCGAGAGAGAATGTGCCTTCCCATCCAGCCCACCCTGTCCTCTCTAGAATACACAAAGAGTATTTTTTGAGCAGCGTTAGGACTTTATTTACTCCAGGCAAGGGCACAGTTCTCTCAGACCAAAGAACACCACAGCAATGGGAGCTTTGGTGAAGCCTGCAATCGAGCCCTAGGAATTCAGATGTGAGTTATTAAACAAGCACAATACCAATCTCGTATTATGATGATGATAACATGGTACCTTTTCCTTCCTTCTGACATCTCTTTCTTTGTACAATACATTTTCTGCTCTCGCTTGTAGCTGGGCAAGGATTGCCCCTTGCTGACGGATGCTGTACGATCTCTCTGACCCTTACTTCATTTCCTCTTTTGAAACCACATGTTTTTCCTTTCTTTGTGCAAGGGCTCCATGGACTCCACTCACTAGCTTCACAGTGCACTGCAATAAACATAGGACAAGCTGAGCCTGGCTGATATATTTTTGTATATACAATGCATATGGTACATTAATTTTATTCTGCATCAGCCGAAAAGTGGCAAAAATTAATGGAATTAATCAGGGTTTGCAGCAGTGAATTGACGGAATGGGTCTGCTGAGGATATACTGGACAAAATAATTATGTCAGTTACTATTTTGTACTCGCGGTTTCATAATTCCATTCCTGAAACAGGGCAACACCACCACAATTGATCTCAATGAAATCAGTTACTGGGGCTTGTTCTGAGAGGTTGCTTTGGTTTTGTGAAGGTATAAATCCTTGTAGCTTCAGTGGAATTAAACTTTGATCATGCCTATGTGAAAGGAGAGTGAAGTCATTCAGTCAAGCTGCTCCAGCTGGTCTCAACAGTATTGAATTTGGAAATCAATAGAGTTATAATGGACCAACTGATATCAAAAGGCATTACATTAAGAATCAAGTGTCTTTGGTGGTCTGCTGCTTGCTATTCAGCTTAAATAGTGAGAACGCCATCATCTGTAGCATATACAAGCTGTAAGTAGGCAAAGCAGAGGAGAATTTGGGTCGGCGGGGGATGCAAGCTTTTCAGAAAAGTGTGGGTTACAGTTTCTAAACCGCAGTGATCTGAATGCGCATCCCATACCATTGGGAACTCAAAAGGTGTGCAGCCAGACACTTGTCTAAACAGTGTAGACAAAAATGGGAGTAACCTTGGAAGCTTAACAATGTGCTCTTAATAACTATCCTTCTTTTGTGCCACCTCCTCAGTATCCTTCTCTTGATAAAAGATAGTGAACATTTATATTTACTTTATATTCACATGCATGCTTAAGCCTATAAACCACTGTTGAAGAAGGAGAGACTTCCAGCCCCTCTATAAGGAGGAATTTTTAAGTCAACATTTTTCCAGCTCCAGAATTTACATCCAAATTTTTCAAAACCTTAAAATATAACTGACCTCAGGCAATCTCTGAGTCTTCCTCCAGTGAATTGTCATGTGGGTCATTTTGTTTTTCATATTACACTGGAGCTCTCCTGTTAAAATAATTGGCCTTCACGTGCACAAAAAGGTTCTGTTTTTCCTCCGTAGCTTTAAATGGCTTTTCCTAGTTGAGACTGACTCATTGTTAAAGCAGCTAAGTCTGCAGCACTTGGAAACAGCCATCAAGAAACAAAAATGATCCCTTGAATTTATTTCAAAGATGAAAGTCTTTGCTTGAAAATAAAACCGTAAAAGCCATCACTACCACCTGAACTAATATATATTTGAGAAGGAAAATGCCAAACTACTGTACATTATTTTTATTCCTGCATTACTTCCCCTCCAAAACACGCGATGCCAGGGAGAGCTATGTACTTGATACTGTGGGGGAGGCGATTTCCATCACAGCCAGACTGTGCCTAAGTGCTCCCTGGTTGCTGGTGGTGAAGAGGTTACCGCTGCCGCCGCAACCCGCAGCCCTCAGCCACCACAATTCACAGCTGGCATACTAAAATAAGCTGAACCTTGCCGCGGCTTTGCCATGCCCATGGCAGGGGATGTCAACAGCAACCCAGAGGCAAATATATCACTCGTTCTGCTTTCAGCCAGAGGGGTGGCAGAGGGATGGAGCAGACAGTTAGGTGTGGTGACCTCCAAAATTGCCCCGGCGTGAATAATCGGAGCTTGTGAGTCAGAGGCTGGAGAGATACCAAAGCAGGTCTCTTCTCTGCAGCCAGTGAGTCACAGCACCAGTGTCGCCAACCTCATTCCTTCACTATTTGGTGTTTTATTTTAATGCTCAGTTTCTGTAGTCAGGTGATTATGCAGATATACCGTTTGAGGGGTTTGGTTTTTTCTTTCCTTAATGTTTTAGTTTCTAGCCTTCACTATTGTGAAGGTAAGCTTCAAAATGTTGATGCGCGCATGCTTTGAAGGCTCAGGTAGTACAAGGGAGCTAAAGCGAAGCAGTTAGTGTTTTAAACTTTCAGCTACATCTGGGGTCTGGCCCAGGATTTTTGAACCTTTGATGTTAGCGGTGCTGCATAACACTGTAACAGAGCAAGTAAGAGATAGATGTCATTCTACCTCAGGGCAGACCAAACAGGCTGTATTTCCTGAGGCAGAATTGCCCTTAGCATCAAGGCTGTGTTTGTGGGGCACAACCGAGCTTGTGCCTCTTGTGAAATAGCAGACTTGGGAAATACCTTGAGTTTGTCGTCCTGGGGAATACACTTTGTGATGCAGAACATTTCTATTTTAAGTTGCACTTCCCCGGTGGTGTAACTGATCTTGCAACTCATGCCCTCCTCAGATCCCCCATCCCCTGTGAGAAAACCAGGCGGGACACGAGGGGACCAGACTTACCAATGCTAGTGCACTCCATCGTGTGATTGTTGGCTTCCAGCCCATCAGGGCACTTTTCAAGGCACTTTCCACTGTATAAGTAAAACCCACTTTTACACTTTGTGCAGAAGTTTCTGGTGAAGCAGGTATCACAGTCAGCTTTACATTCTGAAATGCAAACAGTAAACAACAATGTTGTTGTTCTTTGGCACGAAGCGCCCTGGGCTCTCTCATATATACCAGAATCACACAATTCTAGCAATGTTAAACAATCTTCAAAGGAAGCAAATTATATTTAGATCTTCTTTGTGGCCTGTACACACAGTGAGGCCAGCCACAAGTGGCCTTGGCATGAGTGAGGGTTTAATAAGGATTGCTGAACGGCCTCACACTGCTTGTCTTCTTGCAGACCTATGCAAACAGAAGACAGAGCACAGCACATCAGAATAACAACGTACTGCTTCTGCCCTACACTGACCCAGCATAGGTACTAATTAACCCCACAGGGCACAGGTACTGGGCCAGTTCCACACTGTCTATCTCCATTCATCCAGGAGAAATAAAAATATGCTACAATTTAGAATCTGCTTAAGACTGGTTTGCATCAACATCTTTTTCTTTTTTTAAATGACTCCCTGATGTTCAACCAGATGTCCTGTAGTATTTCATATATTCTCTATATGATTACCCAAATTGGCATTAATGGTATATTTCCCAATTCTCAGGTATTTTTAAAAGAAGTACGTAAAAACTTGTGTATGGCACAGCTCATGTCTGATACATAAGGCCACACACTACTAATACGTGAGCAAATACTTTACAGTGTCAAGTTACTCTGTAAGACTTTACTCTGGGGTCCGTTCATTAAATAACTTTTATTACCAGGTAAAAACTGGGAGAGCTGCTTGGCCGTCGCTCTTATGTTTTTATATCACCTGCGGGATTAAAAACAGTGAATTCAACAACAAAAAGAAGAGTGGGGAGGACATTGCGATCTTTTCCAGTTCATTTATGGTTCAAAATACATAGTGAGGTCAAAATGTTGCCCGAGCGGTAAAGAACAGAGTTGGGTTCTCTGTCTCCCAGCCCGGAGGCAACATGAATTGGTAACTTCCCCCAAATCAGGCTGAAACCTGGCCAGCTGCTACAGGCGTTTGGGGGACTACGCTGAGTATGGGACAAGCCATAAAGAGACCAGGGCAAACCGCATCTCCAAAGAATGCCACCTGCCATCTTCTCTCCTTGTCACAGGGGTCAGGCGGGTAAGGGCAGGGGGTTAAACGGCTCCAGCCACCGAGATTGAGCATCCCTCAGCCCCTCACTCTTCGGAGCTGCTGCCGCTCCCTCTTGCTGCCGGAGGGCAGGGCCTGGCACCCACTGACCCTTCCCTTTCACATGGGGGTGTAGAGGAGGAGAGCATCACCTGGGTCCTAGGCAGGTTATTCATGCAGAGCTGGGATCCCTGAGCTTTAGGCTGTTTTGTGATCTTTCGCCTTAACTTCTTGGCCAGGTTAATATTTACTGCACTACTATAAAAGAACTGAACAAATAAAGACATGAGGTGTCCGTCTGCTTCTCTGTCGACTTGACTCCTAAGGGGACACAGCGTTCAAGAGAGAACAAACAAATCCATGTGCTTCCCCTTTCCCCAGCACTTACTTGCACACTTATTAATGTCGGGATACCGTGTCCCATAGTATCCACTTGGACATGAGGAAAGACATACTCCGATCTGTTTCATGCCAATCCTCTCCAGAACAAAAAAGAGCCTGGGCTTACATGACAGGCATCCGTTGTAGTCAGAACATGTAGCACACCCTCCTTGGCAACCCTGGCTCACGTTAGGATGCACTGAGAAGACAAGCATTGGAAAAAACAAAAACAAAAAAAAACAAAAACGGTGAGAGAACAAGATATTAGACAAGATCATGAAATAATGGTTCCTCTGTGCTTGGAAGGGTGGGCCATCCACCCCTCTGACAGATCTTAAAGATTACTTCATTTTTTCTTGTGTCTCTTATGACCTGACATTTCATTTCAGTGATTATTTCATCTGCATAAAAATGAGAAGCTCAGTTGATGTGCTCACATCTTGCAGAAACAGCTAACAGCAAATTACATTTGAAATAGATTTTGTGGAACAGCAGCATCCTAGAGAACAGTTATTTTTCTTTTAGTTATTTTCAGTGGCTTTTCTGCCTTGTGTGCACTTGGCTCAGCAGTTAAGTACATGTTCACTTATCTTTGCTTTTCCTAGCTGGATGATTAAAAATCAACCTAGTGTATAATTTCCTTCACTGACTAATTGCCATTTGATCGAGTTCTGCTGTGCGGGAATATACCCTTGTAAGATCTGATGCTAATTTGCCTTAATAAGAAGACACAGGAGAGGCATCCTTCTCACCCTCCTTCTTTCCCTGGAATGTTCTCTCTGGCATGTTTTTAATCTCTAACAATTACAACCTGATGTTCGGACTTAACTGTGGTATTTACCCTGCTCCAGTCCCAGCATAGAGCATAGGTAGGATTATATTTGCCTTTCAATTGAATTGTTCTAATTCTTCAGACAAGGAAAGGAAAACTTATTACACTCACTGCTTAAGACTATTCAGTTCTTTTTTAGAGGCTTGAGGGTAGCAGAACAGAGGATGCTATTGCAGACTATCTTTTCAGTAGCAGACATTAATCAGTGTGTTACTTCTCAGTGGTAGAGAGCAATGTTTTGCGTCTTCCTGTACTTTAGAAGTTGTTACCTACTTTTAATTCCTTCTTGGTTGCATTCTTAAATAGGAGTTGGATCTGAAAAATAATTACGCATCAAATAGCTCTAGATCCTGTGTTTCTTCTTTTTTGGCCTCGTGTTGTATGAAAAACCCGGGCATTTTTCTAAGTGTAAGCTTTCATCTCTCAGCCTGAGATCTTACATATTTCATATGCAAGAGAAACCCAGCCCTCATTTACACTTGTAAATCTTATTTGCAAATACTTTGGCTTCCTGTTCTGCCTTCTCCTCAGGCCAGTGGTAATTTTATAAATATGCACGTGCCATATTTGCCTATTTTAGTGTTTCATTTTTATCTGCAGACACTGCTAAATAGCTTGCATACACAATGAACTTGCTTTTGTCAGCTCCCTTCTGCGGATCCCTTGGAGGCAGACCAGAAGCCCATATGAATCCATGGCTTGCAGGTTGAAAGCCACCACTCTCTGCTAGCTCAGGGGAGTTTGCCTGGTGGCAGGGAAGTTCAGGAATACCTCTGTACTTTGTTCACTGACAGTTTTGGCAGGAAAGACATGGCCCATGAATGGGAAAAGCACTCCTCTATGTCCTGAGGTTTTGATGACCAGTCCCGCAATCTGAGAAACCTCAAAGGGAGTTCGAGTTCACTTTTGCTCTTTCATGAATAGTATGAGGAATGAGGGTTATTTCTCTCAGTAGGGCTGAACATGTAGGAGAAGAGCAAACTTTGGCCCTGCTACAGACAAACAATTTCAATGAGAATATAAGAACCCAATTCTCTGTGCCCCCCGAGGCACTCACTTTGTAGAACAACCTGGAGGAAAGTGTTTTTACCACCGGGACACACCACTACTATGAGAATAAATGGCATTCTGTGTAGTGAGAAGCTGCAACCCCAATTCAGTTATCAGACTTGCTTGCACTAGACTCTCAAAATACTGAGTGTTCAGAAAGTATAGCATATTTTTTTCTGAGAAGACTCCAAAGATACAGAGGATATTGATTTTGAAATTAAGAGCCTGAAAAATTGGCTTTCTTTTTACAGTTAAATAATTTAAAATGTCCTTGTCTCTCTCTCTCCTGTCTTGTGGCTCTTGTGTGAAGCTACTTTCAAAGGCAGACACAGTAACGTGATCTAAGAAGCTGACATTATTTAAAAACTATCCGTGACTTTCCTTCATTAAGTCTGACAGAGGGAAGAAAAAGCAGCTGAAGTACAAAATATTTCTCATCAAAGCTGCTATATAAAATGTGGATGATCGCTTTTGACGGGAAACATATTATGTGTGAGCACCTGCGACACGTCATTATGAATAGATTCTCTTGAAAGAGAAAACATTATGTGCAACTGCTCTGAGGTCAAGCTGTGTGTGTGAGCCCTTGAGACAGGCAGTACTTTATTACCGAAAGATGACAAGATCCATTACATGGCCAATTTCCGTCTCCCTTTTAACTCCAGAAGTATTAAGTATAAAATAAAATGTACTCATAGCCATTTTCTCAATTTCTGCATCCTTTCATGTATCCCAGATACATCTCATACAAATTACTCGGCAAAAACAGAGAGCCTGTAGTTCCAAATGGAGAATCATATTGTTAGTATTACGGAGCAAGGAATAAGTTAAAATATGTAAGTCAAGCTCCATTTAAAGGTTGATTTCATGCCATGTTATAACTCAACGTGTGAAGCAAAACAAGCTCCTGTTCTTGGAAATGCAGAGAATGAAAGTCTCGTTAAAAAGTCAGAATTGACATTTTAACTGAAGAAAGACGTATTTTCTCTTTAAAACTATTAAAGGGATCCTTTTTTGATTGTCTCCTGTTGTGCCTGGCATTTCTTTGAGCCCTGTAACTCTGTAATAGAACTGTCTCTCATTGCATTTGCTCTAAATGCTAGGTAGACCCTTATTCTGGCTCAGGCAAGAAGAAAAGCAGGGACAGCCGAGTGCTCCAGAAATTGATACTATTTGAAAGCACAGCACCAGGCTTTGTCATTGAACCTGGGAGAAAATAAATGGTGGAGGAAAAATATCTGTGCCTCGAAAATGAGAGAGCATGTTTGAAATAAGGCATCTCCAAGCTCCAGCTGAAGATATTCTTGTTACCTCTTGGCCTCCTCCCTCTCCGGGTCAGATCCAGGTGCTTGCCTGATCCCTGCAATACAGGGGCCAGTCCCTCCCCTCCTGCAGAGACCAAGTGGGGTTGCAGGGATTCCAGAAGGAAATGGGGCAAACTCAGGCTCTGAAACATGTTTCTGCCACAGGGAGGGAACTTGTCGCTGCTGGCTGCAGAACCGGCCCTTACTGTTCTTCTCTCATTGCAGGAAGGTGATAGTGCCTGCAGATCTTGAGCACTTCAGCAACTGCACACCATAACCATGAGGAAGCAACCAGAAATTGTACCCCTTTTTTTCCCCATATCAGACACTGTGAGCTCAAAATTTAAGTGATGTGCTGCAACAAGCTGGGAACATAAACCTCATCTGGTAAAATCTGGCCATGGTACACCTGGTGTAAGCATTGCTTCAAATTTCTATACTTAGGTCAATGGTAGAATGGGTAAGTAATATACATCCACTTTAAGAAATGCTTTGAAGTCTACAGGTGAAAAAGCACTAGGCGAGCGCAGACCACTCCTGTTAGCCACAAGCTTTTGATGCGATAAGAGCGACAAAGAGAGGTCCAGTCTCTTGGCAGAGGGCCAGGCGCTGTGGCCTCGTGGGTTAGGCACTGGTTGCAGAACCAGGAGGTCTGGGCTTTAGCATTGCAAATAGGTCCAAGAAATGCTCTTGCTTGTAACCGCTTGGTCTTTGCTGCAACCTGCTCCATTATAAAGACGAATAAAATGAAATATAAAAAATTCTCCACAACCCTCAGAACTGACTTCCATAAGGATGAAGCATTCCATGCATGGGCTGTTAGGAACAGAGTCTGCCACTGAGATGACCCTACCAGCCATCGAGCCGTCTGCCCTCTTGTACTCAAACACGCTTTGAGCACAGTGAAATTCTAGACTCTCAAGGATAGAAAATACAGCACAGCAATGGGCAAAGCAAGTGGTGGGATTGCAGAGACCCACAGACAAGTTCTTCCCATCTCTTACACAAGCGTTAGCCAGGCCTGCTGGCTCATCAGGTACAAAGTATGTATGTGCAGGCTCGTGACTGGCTTTAGGTCCAGAATCCATCCCTCCATTTTTCTTTTTATAGAACCTAAATACTGGAGATCAGAGAAGACACTAAGTTAATCTTGAACTATTCTCTTCCCCGGCCTGGCTTTAAGCCCTTTTTGGAGGCCTTTTTTTCTCCAAGCTGTTTGTCCAGATATTAGCTTTAAGCCTCATTATCAAATTAAATCACTGGGGATTTTCCTTTCTCAGAATATTTTCCAAAGCCCTGCTCTGGAAACAATGAGTTGTGATCTCTCTGTTAAAAAAAAAAAGAAAGTTACGGACAAGGAGCTGAATTTGAATCTGAACTTTCAATGAAGAGACGATAGGAGATTTTGAAGGCATGCAGCAAATACATTCTAAAACCTTTGCAACGGCATTTTTCTATCAGTTTTACTTTATATATAGATTAAAATCTATGGGATCAAAAAACAAAAATAAGAAAATGCAAGAGGAATCCAGGTGGGCATATGTTTTTACAGCCAGGGTAAAATCTCGGGGTAGAAGAATATTCTTTGCTCATTTGATGCAGCTGAGGCGCACTGTCTCATTACCGATCTTCAACGACAAGATGTCCATTTAGAGGCTTGTTCTTGGAATGGATGTGCTAGACAAATAAAATCCATCCCTGTTAGAGAGCGGCTGCTACTCCTCGTTTCTTGGGCTTGCGCATTCTCGCAGGAAATATTTTCGCAGCAGAGCTGCTCTGGAATTCAGCCTCCCTGGTTGGGCTGCCCCTTGCCGCGAGACCCAGGCCCTGCCTCGGCTTTACGCACCGCGTGGCACCCACGCAGGCACCAGCCCTTGTGATGGTGGGGATTTGGGATGGGATATCCCATGGGTTCTCGTGTCACTCAATTGCTTCGTGCGTTCACTGGCGTTCATTTCTCTCTCTCTCTCGCCTCCTGCGAAGCAGCTGGCTGTGGCAGTGGCCTGACAACAATACTTCATTTAAAGCAGAGCTACTCTTAATCATGCGGACTGTCCTTTAGGCGAACGCAAACAGCATTTGGCAGTGAGCTCTTCTAGTGAGAAAGTCATTAAGGAATTCAGTTTGCAAACCACAGCGTATTTCCTCAGACTCTTTTCTTGGACAGCGTTTCTCTGTGTGGAAATGCGTTAGAAGCGGAACGGACGATGGTGGGGCAAAAGCAGTGAACCGACGTGTAGGCAACATGCAGTGCAGAGCAAGGAGAAAGCCCAGGAGTGGTGGGACAGCACTGGGACAGCAAACATACATGGGTTTGATAAGTTTGTATTATCTCTACTAAATAGATTGCCAGCCTGCGACAAGATGAAACCTGAGCTCAGTCTTGCAGGCTAAGCTCTACTTGATCGCTTGACCTTAAATCACCCACAGGGAGGCAAGGGACTCGATGTGTCGTGATGGAGCAACACCTGGGCTCTGCGGGGAAGAGAGACCCGTACATGGCAATTGGTACACTGGGTCGGCCGTAAGTTTTCTGGGATGCAACCGAACCAGTAGTGATAGCTGAGGAATGTGGACTCTCTGTCCAGCCTCCCCATGATCTGTAGGAGTCTGAGGTGGCCTTGAAAGGAGAGGCAGCTGCGAAAGCAGCAAAGAGGAAAAGTCAGTCTAAAAGTCACCTATTAAAGGCTTAATGTCTTCTGTTTCTCTTTGTGATTTGTGCTTCACAAGTACTTTAAGATTTCTTTCTGAGAGGATGGTAACTCCTCCAGGGATTTACCTGACTTCAATTTTACTTCAGAGCATTGCTGCCTTCTGTGGTACAAAACACACAACAAAGAAGATCCTCAAGTGTTCTCCTGTGTTTTGAAGGAAAAAGATCCCATAAGGACTGGAAAAAAATTTCCTCAAACATCTGCTTGTCTTGACAGAACATTTTCCTCCTCAAGAGGCACTTCCCATCTGAGGCTAAAAAAAACCCCAACCTATTTTGTTCACCAAGTGTCAACAGTTCTAAAGAGCAACAGAAACATGAGTGTGGGGCTGTCCCACAGTCTCAGGGAGTATCCGTAACTGTTTTGTAGTGGTGTCTACGAGCAAGGAGGCCCTCAGCCCAAATGGCCAAGATCTCACTGGGGAATGCCTCATCATTATTAAACACATCTGGCAAAGTGATCCTGAAAATTAAGAATATTGACTGCCAGAATACATTTCCCCTGAATTTGGTTAGGAAGAGCATCAACAGGCTGAAAAATCTCACCAGGGGTGCAGAGTTTTATGCAGTCTCCTAGCATCTTCAGCACAACAGAAATCGGCCACAGCAACCACAAATGGCTCCTTCTCATTCCAGAGAGTTTTGTAAATAAACTGAAAAATTCTTTTCATGGAGAGAGAAGGGAAATTGCCTTTTTTTTCCCACGTACAACGGAGCACCACCAAAATTCAGGGATCCAGGAAGTTTAACCAGTATAGGAACCAAAGAAGATCCCTGAGGCAATTTGCCTTAAGCACCCTGGTAGTGATAGTATAGGTAGGACCAGGTCACTCAATACCTTCTCACATCAAGTTCTAAATCCTATAAGCAACCACAGATCTTACTTTTAGAGTCACCTGTAGTTGTTTCCAAATACCCAGTCTTCAAGTCCATACATTATGAAGCTTCTCTAAAAATGGAAAACTGAATGACATTATCTCCTCCTTATGGTCTAGATAAGAAGACCCGTTACAGAAAAGAAAGTATGGGATCTATAAAGAGTAGTAACCTAATAGTTGTATAACCTAATAGTTGCATAACCGATGTGTCATGACACTTGTCAGACTCAGCTACTTGCAAATAAAGCATCTGTGCTGAGATGAAAAAAGGAGGCATGAATTTTGGAAAGAGATTATATTTGATGCACATATATTTAGACAGTATTTTAATACTCTAATCCTGCAAGATGCCATTATGAAAATCCCCAGTTGATTTTACGCTGTTCGCACGCACACAGAAGTCTGAAAACAAAGTTGTCAACCTCACTGTGACTCCCATGACTCCCCAGTCTCTTCCCTACAAGAGACACATGCTTCTATCGAGTAAAAAAGCACAGCTGTATATTGCATGAGCTCAGTCTTTGAAATATGCAGTCTTTCTGCTTGATTTTCTGCTTGATGCTAGTGTTCCATCTATAGTTTATGTGTTTCCAGCAAAGCTCGTTGGTGCTCAGTTTGTCCTGGTGGCAGCAGGGCCTGTCCCCCCATCTACTTCTTCTGGTTTGTTCCTTTAACATACTGGAGAATTTTATTGTTGCATATTACACAGATGCTCCTATACTTCCAAGCTGTGTAAGGATCACTCAGCTCATACTGTCAACATTACACAACTACAGTAGCATTTGCAAGTTTCTCGTTTCCCACAGGGTCTTTTGAGACCAGAGTTTTTCTCTCAAAGTTTTGTTTCAGAAACCACAGAAAGAACAGCAGGATGTAACAGATTTTACTTTCCATGCTGGGGACTAGGGAGAAGGGTTTAGACAGCAAAAGCCTGTAATCCCATGTCAAAGCTATGATTTTCTACTGCCATGTTTACAGCATTAAAAAATTAATAAGCCAGACAGCAAGCCAGCCCACTGCCTTGGCGTTGCTCAAATGTGCCTTTGGTCAATTACTTAATATCCTCGCAATTTTGTATATTTTCCTAAGTGGAACTGATCAAAAGTTCGTACTGAATGAAATAATTTTTTTCTGTGTAACGATTAAATTCGTACCATACTGAAGCTAACTAAAAGCCCTGAAGTATGTTGTTTGCAGTGGAACTGTTCTGGACCGATGCCTGCAAACATTGAAGCAGAACCTGTCTCTTTAAATTCAAATCTCACACCAAGATTTGAACTCAGAGTACAGATACTAAGCAGTATCACAGTGCTGGAAGGTCTCTAAAAATTGCTTCCTACAATTTGTAATAGGAGGAAACTCTGATCTCAAACTTTCATAAAGGAAAAAGGGTAAATTCTTCAAGCTGACCGGACCATCCATCTGTCAGTGACACATAATACTGTCCAAAATTCCAAGTTTAAATTAATGGTTAAAATACTAGCTGTAGTGACTACTTCTCTGCTGTAGTCCTGTGTAGTGACGCATACGCTATCAACACTCAGCAAATGATGACCCGACTATTTTCACCTTTCCCTCATGCCACTGGGACCTGTACCAGTCTAAAAAAAAGAAGTCAAAGGTTTTTTGAGTGCAAAACATAATCAGTATGATACGAAATCGAATTCAACTCAGATGGAAAACAGACAAGAGACTTCATCACCAGCCAGCTCGGGCTCACTAACAGAAGTCCTGGCCCACCAAAGCGAATGGTAAAACTCCTGCGAAGAGATGGGGGGTGAGGATTTCACTACTAATTTGTTAATCAACATTAGGGTAGTCCATGGTTCAGAGTACAGTTATCTGATTTTTAGAGGGCAGTGTGATTGGACGGCCTGTTTTGATTGGGATTAAGTAATAGGACGGGTGAGATTTAAGTAGGCATCTAATTCCTGAGAAACGGACTCAGTTCAACAGCTCCCTGTGCCTGGCTCTTCTTGTGAAGTAACTATGAATGGCACGTAGTTAGGGCTTGTTTCATCACCCCTTCTGCGCACTGCCCTCTCTTTGAAGTCTGAGCCGTCCCCTCCCAACCGGCTCCGCTGCCTCACACGCTGATCCACATGAAAGAAATTTAGCGCTCACATCAAGCATCATTCACTTCCCCAAAACCATAATACATCTAACATCACGGCGGTGATACACAGCAGGCAGTTTACAGTTGAGCTAAAGCCATGCTAGAAAATATTTGAGCTGAATTATTGGGGTGCTGGTGATGAAAACAAGGCTA